GTCTTGAGCTCACTTTGTAGCCCAGGTTGTCTCGAACTCACAATGATCTTCCTGCCTCAGCCTCCTGAGTGCTGGGATTACAGGCGTGCACCACCACGCCCGGCTCTTATTTGATTTTTCATGTCCATTAATATTTGTTTTATATAGTTGGGTGCAATGGTATTTGTTGCATATATATTTATGATTTTTATATCTTCCTCTTGGATTGTTTCATTTACAAGGATGTAGTGACCTTCTTTATCTCTTTTAATCAGTCTTGGCTTGAAATTCACTTTGTCTGCAAATAGAATGACTACTGCTGGTTTTTTCTGGGTTCCCGTCCCATGGAGTATGGTTTTCCATCCTTTGGCTTTCAGTTTATGAATTTCTTTTTGAATTAAATGTGTTTCTTGTATGCAGCATATTGTTGGATTTTACTTCTTGATCCATTCTGCAAGTCTGTGTCCTTTGATTGATGAATTGAGACATTAACATTGATGGTTATAACTGATATGTATTGACTTATCCTTGTGATATTATTGTCCTGTTGTTGGCTCCCCCTCTCCCCCCACCCCCTCTGTTTAATTGTTTGCCTGGCCTGGTGGATTCCTTCTGTTTAAAGTCATGGAGTTATAGTCCATGGAGTTGTTATCTCTTTCTAAAATATCCTTCAAAATATTTTGGAGTGCTGGTTTAGTGGTCATAAATTTCCTCAGATGTTCTTTGCCATGGAAGTATCTTATTTCTCCATCAGTTTTGAAAGATAGTTTTGCAGGGTACATCAATCTGGGTTGAAGGTTGTTTGCCTTTAGAGCTTGAAATACTTTATTCCAAGCTATCCTTGACTTGAGGGTTTGGGCTGAGAAATCAGTCGTGAATCTGATGGTCTTTCCTTTATAGGTGATTTGTTTCTTTTCCTTGACAGCTTTTAAGATTCTATTCTTGTGTTGAATATCTGGAATCTTGACTGTGATAAGCCTGGCTGTATATATATATTTTTTGATCATGCATGGCTAATTGGAGTTCTCTATGCCTTACTTATTTGTATGTCAAATTCTTTTTCTCTGCCAGGGAAATTTTCTGCTATGACGCTTATGAACATTTTTTTTATATCATCTGTGCTATCCCTTGCTTTTTCATTGACTCAAATCAATCTTAAGTTATTTATCTCAACTAGCAGCCGCTGGATTGACTTTCAGCATGGCTCTTTCTCTGCTGCTTACCACTCCGCCGTCTTGGTGCTTGATCTCTCCCAACCCTTTTTTTAAAATTTATTTTTTATTTTTTGAGAAAGGATCTCAGTAAGTTGCATAGGCTGAGTTTGAACTTGTGATCTTCCTGCTTCAGCCTCCCGGGGAGAATGGTTTTGAACAAATGAATTTGTGCTGCACTTTTTGTTCTGTGTCTCCCTGTCTCTTAGAAATTCTTTCTACCTCAGTGGATCTTCCTATATGCAGAGATCCACTGTATCTTCTTAACAGCTGCCCAGCCTTGCATTGTGTGGCTTCACCACCATTTATTTTGCTATCTCCACCTGATGGATGCTTGGGCTGTTTCCAGTTCTCTGCTGCAGTTACAAAAAAAAGAAGCCATGGATATCTGTGCACATTTACCTTTGCTCATGCCTTGTCTCTGTGGTACACACTCTAAGTCATGGAGTCGTTGGCTTAAAGTATGTGCTCTGAAAACAATTCTGGGAATACATCCCACTGTTTCACTGGGTAGCCTCACTGCTCCTTTTACTCTTTCTTTCCATAACTTTGCTGTCTCTTTTTACAGGTTTTTTTTTTTATTGTTTGTTTTTGTTTTTCTTCCGGTACCAGGAATCAAACTCATGACCTTGCGCTTGCCAGGCAGGCGCTGTGCCACTGAGCTAAATCCCCAGCCCCTACGGTATTTTTTTAAAGATAAACTTTAGTACCATTTTCTGATCAGGTGGTATTTTTGTTTATATTTGTTTTTATTTTTAAGACAGGGTCTCACTATGTAGCCCAAGCTGGCCTTTAACTTGTGGCAATCCTCCTGCCTCAGCCTCCTGAGTGCTGGAATTACATGTATTTGTCATCAGGCTCAGATATGTGAGCTCCATCCTTCTTCTACAGGTCCAAAACGGGCCCGTGTGCCCGACTCCCCTCTTAGGGTAGGCTGGACCTGCCCTGCCCTGGGACCAGATCCTATCACTGGCCCACCTCCTAGTCACAGTCTCAGAAGTTAGTCCTTTATTTATTTTTTTTATTTTTTATTTTTTATTTTTTTAGAAGTTAGTCCTTTAAAAGTTCATGTGAATGTCTCCGCGTGGCCTCTTCCCTCATTGGCGGCCCTAGCGTGTTTGGCCCAGGTCGCACGGCAGCCTGTACACTTGGACTCCCTCTTCGCGCTCCTCTGGCCGGCGTGGCCTTTGTGTTTGCAGAGTGGAGACGTATTCCCTTGCAAATTACGGGCTTGGGGAGGCGGCTTCCGGGCTCTGGTTCCCCCGCGTGGCAACTATGTGAACTGCAGGGTCCCAGGGGCGTCCCTCCTGGCGGGGCGGAGGCTGGGGCAAGGAGGCTGGGCGCCGGGTTCTCCCAGTAGCAATCGCCCGGTCCTCTGCGCTGAGTCCCTTCTTGCGCTGTTGGCTCAAGCTGTCCCCCACATCGCTTTCCTTTCTGGCAACAAAGTCGCATCCTAGCGTCTGGTGTCCCGGTGACCTGTGCCCGAGGCTGTGGCTGGGGACACCCTTGGTCCCGCACAGCCCGCGGAGTGTCCACCAGGCGCAGCGGCTGCTAAGTTCGCCTTTGGAGAGAGCCACACGAGGCTGCTCTCCGCGTTCCTCTGCTTCCCGTGCGTCACGCCAGCTAACCTGAGTCTGTCTCCATAGTAACAGTGGAGCATGTACATAGCGTTTGCTCCACTCGGCTGTCTAGATGATTACACGGGAGAGGCGCAGAGCGGGACCGTCACCACCACCACACCGCATACCCATGGTGCGCTGGAGAATGGATTTCTAAATAACCCTATAAGAAAGAATCGTGCCGGGGCCCTGGTGCACGCCTGTAGTGTCAGCACGCGGGAGGCTGAGGCAGGAGGATCGCCAAGAGTTTGAGGCTGCCCTGGGCTACATAGTGAGTTCAAGGGCAGCCTGGACTACACAGGGAGACCCTGTCTCAAAAAAAAAAAAAAAGAAAGAAATAGCAAGAACACTGAAGTAAGTGTTTTCAAAATGAGGAGTATTTTGAGGGGGATTAACGACGACGTACCTTTTCTGGTAATAACTTTTAAAAACTTAAACGCACATACCCTTTCTTCACCAGCCCTTATATTTCCTTAGAGAAACCCTGTCTGCGTCGTAAGCTGGGCAGCGCAGCCCTGGCTGGGAGCTCAGGTGGCCCAGCCCTGTGCTTCTGTCGCCCTCCCTCTCCTTCGGAGGGAGACCCCTTGGCGGCTGCTCCCTCCCACCCACCAGAGAGCTCGGCTCAGCCCGGCTCCTTTAGGGGCCGCCCACTGCCACGTTCCGCCCCGCGGGGCTGCGGCCTTCTGCCACCCGTCGGCCCGGGACGCCCCTGCCTCCCCGCACTTCTTCTACTCGACCCCTTTAAGCAGAGGGGAGACCGGGCAATCTCTGGCGCCCCCACGTGGGCGCCAGGCGCGCGTGTGAGTGTGCACATTTTGTCTTTTGTCAGAACACTCAAGGAGGGAGCTGGGGATTTAGCTCAGCGGCACAGGGCCTGCCGGGCAAGCGCAAGGTTGTGAGCTCCATTCCCAGTACGGGGGGGGGGGGACACATTCAAGGAATAACGTAATCCCAGCACTCAGGAGGCTGAAGCAGGAGGATCGCTCTGCATTCAAGGCCAGCCTGGGCTACAAAGTGAGTTCAAGGCCAGCCGGAACTGCATAGCGAGACTCTGCTTCAAAGAGACAAAGAATAAATAAATAAAAAATAAAAATTCAAGGAGTGAGTCTTGGGGTAGCTTCTGAAGAGGGACTGGGAGACTGCGGCCGTGTTGTCATGTTTGAGTCCTCCTAGCTGGCTTTTTGCCTCGGGGTCAAGATGTCTGGGACCCCACGATCTCTAAATCTAGAGCCTGTAAACCCCATAAACCTCAAATGCAAAGAGAAGACAGAAACACCCACACGGGTCTGAAACACGACTTTTTCTGGTCTGTTCAATGTGTCTTCGGGTTTGTGCGCATCTGTGCCAGCTGTGTTGTTTTGGGTGCGCGCATTGCAAACAGTACTGGTGCTGCACTGTGGCTCTGCTTCCGGGCTGGGACAGGCGGTTGCATCGTGTTGCCATGAGCGCTCCTGAGCCCTTGCTTCCTTTTGTTGTCTGTTTTTTTCTGTTTATTTGTTTATTTTTTGAGACAGGGTCTGGCTATGTAGCCCAGGCTGGCCTTGAACTTGAAGTAATTTTCCTGTCTCTGCCTCCTGAGTGCTGGCATAACCTGCGGCCGGCGCCCCCCCCAGGCAGGGCGACTTCTCCTCCTCACTTACACTGGTTTCCAGAATGATGCCCTAGTCTCCTCTGAGCATATCTGGGTGCTGCATGTTCTCTGCTGACATTTGGCGTCATTTTTTATTTTTTTGGTGGGGGAACTGGGGATAGAAGTCAGGCTACATACTCGGTTCATTTTTTATTTTTTATTTTTTGAAATAGGGTCTTGGCTAAGTCGCTAAATTGCCCAGACTGGGTTTGAACTTGGGATCCTCCTGCCTCAGCCTCCCAGACTGTTGGATTACAGGTCTGTGCCATGGGGTGTGGCTCTGGCTTTCTAATTTTTACCAGTTTCGTTGTTGTAGGTGACAGCTCCCTGTCATTTTAACTGGTATTTTTCTGATTACAAGTGACCCTGACCACCTCTCCTGGGCTTGTTGGCCTGTGGGAACTGTTCAAGGCCTAGAGGATCTGACTTTTTGCTCCTGGGGGCTGTGGGACCAAGGCCACGGAGTCCGGGGTGGCAGGCGCTGCCAGGGCCTCCAGGCTGGGCGAGCTGGGGGGACGCGCACAGGCACCCGCGGGGCGCGCAGAGCAGGTGGGGCAGAAGAGGAGCCGGCGCGCAGGAGGCAGAGCAGCTGCGTTCCAGCTCCGGCCAGCGGGGACCGCGGGGCGCGGGATGGAAGCGGCGCTCCCGGGCGACACCCAGGGCGACTCCCACGGCAGTGAGTGCGCGGGGCGGGGGCGAGGCTGGCGGGGCGCGGCCACTGGGCCCGGGCTTCTCGGGGAGCACAGCGCTGCAGCCCCGCGTGGGACCTGCTGTCGTCTCCATTTTGCAGAGAAGATTCGGAGGAGGAGACTGCTAAGTGGAAGAGATGCTGATACCCAGCCCTGCCCCCCTGCTCCCCGCGTCTGTCTGGGGAGCCCTGAAGCCCGGGGATGGGCGCTGGCCCAGCCCCAAGTGGCCTGGGCCTCGGAGCTCTCCACCCCCTGCATGGAGCGGCAGCAGCTGGTGGGGGCGCTTTGGCTACTCTGCGGGGGAGAGGGTGAGGCCGCAGGGCCAGGGACCCCACGGTGAATGCTCCATCCCGCAGCCCGGCAGCTGAGCCCAGGGCTCCCCCAAGTCCCCATTGTGCAATCGCCGCGTGTCCAAAATGCCCAAGCAAGCAGGGTGCCTCTCCTCCTCCAGGGCTCTGCTGCCGTTTCCCAGGGGTACAGGGTTGTGCCTGGGGCTGAGGGTCCCTGAATGGCAGCCTTAGCTTAGCACCGCCTCATGTTCAAACACGGACCCCTGAGCAGCCGCCTGGCCGGCTGTGGTGGCCTGTAGTACCGGCACTCAGGAGGACCCACCTGGGCGCCAGGAGGGAACTGTCCACAGAAGACCCAGCCTGGGTAAAGGCTCCGGGGGCCAGAGAGGAGCATGCGTTTGCCGGGCCTGGGGATGGCAGGGAGGAGACAGTGGCTCTGAGCAGTGGCTGCTTGCTTGCTCCCTGGGACCCCGAGGCCAACACAAACCAGACCCGGGCCGCTCCCCAGGCTCCCACTGAGTGAGTGTCAGAATCCTGTGGTCGCCCTCCTGGAGTTTTACAGCTGAGGAAACCTAGCCCGAAAAGGAGGTTGTCCCTGCCCCGGTTCCTGCTGCAGGGAACTGGCACGGCTCTTCTGAGCCCGGAACTGTGTGGTTTTAAGGCAAAAGGTTAAGGAAGGAATGCACAGGACAAGCCAGGTATGGTGGCGCGCATGATCGATTTTAGCACTCTGGAGGCTGAGGCAGTAGGATCGCAAGTTGGAAGCCAGCCTGGGGAAATTAAGAGAGAACTTGTCTCTAAATAAAAAGGATAAAAATAAATAAATAAAAAGGATTGGGGGTGCAGCTCAGTGGTAGAGCACCCCTGGGTTTGAACCCCAGTACTAGGAAAAGAAAACAAAGGCATAGGACACATGTGTGTTGCAGGAGGTTTGGATCTAAGAGGGGCTCCTTTTTGTTTGTTTTTCTTTGCTTTTTTGAGACCTAGTCTCAAGCAAGGCTTGAACTCACTATGTACCCAATCAGACTGACCTTGTATTTGTAAGGATCCTCCTGCCTCAGCCTCCCGAGTGCCGAGATTACAGGCATGTTCCATCACGCCCAGACGAGAGGGGCTGTTTTAGAGCCTGTTGTGTTGAGAAGTGTCCCTCCTCACCTTCAGGTTGAGCAGACCCCTCGGGGCAGGTACAGAAGGCCCCCCTTTCGCAGCACCCTGAAGCTGCCTCACCTTGGCACTTCTTTCCTGCTGAGCCCTTGGGCTTCTATTTAGCTCTTCTAGGGCACTCTCTGGGTCTCAACTGGGGGAGCACCTGACAGTTCAAACCCCGACCCCAGGAGTTGAATGAGTTTCGATAATGAGTCGCTTATGTACCCGACAGATAGGTGTGGAGGCACAGATTTGGGAAAACTGTAGTTAACAAATCAGACCAAAGTCCCTCTCCTTGCAAGCTCGTGTAGAGTGGAGCAAGCAGCCAGTGTGAAGCTGTGTATACTATATTGTGTGCCATGTGCTGCAGCACACAGGGAAACTGCGGGGTCGGGGAGGAGCGGGTGTGTCCCTAGCGTGGGGTGCACTGGGCCAGGGGCCCTTACGTGAAGGAGATCTCAGCATCTCCAGCTCTGTGGCCAACAGACTCGGTTCCCTAACTCTTGACCTTGGAGTTGGAGTAGCAGACTTTTGGGTGCCCCAAACACCATGCTAGCAGCATCTTCTTTCTCTCTCTCTTTTTTTTTTTTTTTTTTTTTGAGACAAGTTCTCACTATGCAGTTCAGGCTGGGCTTGAGCTTACTTTGTAGTCCAGGCTGATCTCGAACTCACAGTGATCCTCCTGCCTCAGCCTCCCGAGTGCTGGGATTACAGGCATGTGCCACCACCCCTGGCAAATTATTATTATTACTATTTTGGTACCGGGAATCGAACTTAGGATCTTGTGCTGCCAGGCAGGCGCTTATGCCACTGAGCTATATCCCCGGCCCCTTCTTTCTCATTATAATAGCTCTGCTGAGACGTTCACATTCTCCTTTTGCAAATGCGGAAACTGAGGCACCAGATAAATGAGTACCCTGAGTCACGCGGCCAGCAGGAAATGGTTAAACATTGCACGTCCCTGAGAGAGCAGGTTGTGTCCAGGAAACCTCGGATCACCTTCCCAATCCAGGAGGCTGGGTGGGTTTTACTTGGAAAATCAAAGGGCATGGCAGGCCTGTCGCTTGGTCCTCGTGGCCTTTGCTGCCAAGACCCAGGCCACCGGGCTCTGGATACACAGGGCTGGGCGTGGATGTTCACACCGGCCAGCCTGCCGGGCACGGGATTGGCAGCCGTGCAAACACAGAGGCCCCGCCCCGTAGTGACTGCGGAGGGCTGGCAAATGCTGGACCTGGGCGCTGTTCGTGTCGGCCCTTCTGGCTGCTCTGTCCTTGCTTGGGGCTGACACACAGCAAACCCCGGCCAGCTCTGCTCAGCACACAGCGATGGCGAAGCTGGTTCCCGACGCCCTCGCCCAGGCCACTCTGGAAGAGCGTGAGGGACCCTTCCGCTCACCCCGCACCCCTCTTCCGCAGTGCTTCCCCTGGAGAGGCAGCTGCATGAGGCGGCACGGCGGGGCCAGGTTGGGAGGATGAAGGAGCTGATCGCCAGGAGGGTTAACGTCAGGGCCAGAAATCACGTAAGTCATGGCTTCCGCGTGGGGACAGAAAGGCGCAGCGCCCCAGACCGCCAGGGAAGGGACGCTCAGTGAGCCCAGGCCAGTCCGTGCGACTCAGAGGCCAGGCGGGACCGCCCTAGCCTGCTTACCGGCCCAGGGGAGTCCCTGGACATAGGGAGAGGCCATGGCTTCTGGGGGCGGGGACACTGGGGAGAGGCATGGGCAGGAACTTCCTGGAGGAGGAAGGGCTGCATGCGGGGCTCCTGAAGGCACAGAGGCTACGCTGGCTAGAGGGACATGACGGGGAGCCCAGGGCCTCGAGCCTGCCTGGGGCATGGCAGTAGGGTCAGGAGGCCCAGTCTTGTCTGCTGGGCTGGCATCAGAGCACCATGTACCTGTTTGCTGGTGGCCCTAGCTCACCATGGAGAGACCAGGAGGGCAGGGAGGGTCAGTGCTGCGAGCAGCCCCGGCTGGCACCGCAGGAGCTGTGGGTCACGTTAGGTCCACAGTGCGCTGCTGGGGACTAAAGCCTTGGTCTCGACTCCAGGACAAACATCTGCTACAAAGCACGGGCTTGCAGGATGACAGGATGCCAACACCACATTCATTCACTACTGAATTAATAATATCCCTTAGTTATCGTGGGCTGATCAGGTCTGCAATCTCCCGAATGAGTGTACGGCAAAGGCTAACTAAAAAGAGGCAAATAGCTTGATTTCAGGGCTCCAGGAGGACCAAGCCCTCTCCCAGAATTTGAGATCCTCTCAGGGCTAAGACCAAGACCTTCTGTGGGTGGTCTGTATTTATTTGGTCATCAGAAGAAGGGAGGGGAGTACTCAAGAAGGGCAGAATCACTCAAGGACTTCTCCAAGGAAGGTATTAAATTAATCCTTAACAAGGATTAAGTTAATCCACCCAGGAGTGAGATGCCTGAGGCTATAGTCTTTATCCAGCTGAGATCTGATCCAAGTGTCCTTGGCTGTGAACTCGTCTTGTCCTTTGAGGCTTTCTGGCTTCGTCCACCACTACAGGTTTTAGTAGGGATTAGTGACTCACAGAGGTTCACTTACTATGAGTCTACCATTTCCAGGCAAGGAACCTAGGCCTTGGGCAGATTCACAAGTGAACATGAAAACCCAGTGGATTAAGTCCTGCTCAGGTCTGCTTCACAGTGGTCTCGATCAGGTCATTCATTCACACGCTCACCAGCTCTCACATTGGTGCCCGGCCCTGCACTAGTAGCTGGGGACAGAACAGACCCCTTGGGCATGGTCCCTGCCCTCCTGGTGGCCTGGCTGTGAGGACAGACATTAAGCAGAGAGCCTCACAGGCCATTGCCACAGGAGCAGAGCTTCCAGGAAGCCAAGGGAGAAGGGCTGTGGTCCAGGCAGAAGGGACAGCGTGGCCAGAGGCCCCGAGGAAGGAACTGTGAGTACTTGGAGCGGGGACGCGCCTGGCCTGAGACCACACAGAAAATCAGCCTCCCTCCACGGTCCGCTCCTAAGCTGACAAGGACAGAGGACAGAAGCAGGCTGGCTTCCTCCCTGGTCACCCAGATGTGGCAAGGGCCAGTGGCCGTGATGAATGAGTAGAGGGACTGAACACAGGGGGGCAGTCAGGTTCTCAGGTGTCTGCTGGGACTTGGAGAATAATCCTAAGGCGCGGTGGCTGCCAGGCAGGATCAAAGGCTTAGAGGGGGAAGTTGCTTGGCCCCCTTGTTTTGGTGGCACTGGGGATTAAACCCAGGGCCTTTGCACTGAGCTACATCTCCAGCCCTTTTTATTTTTATTTTGAGAAAAGGTCTCAGTTGCTTAGGAGGGGGTCTAACTTGTGATCTTCCTGCCTCAGCCTCCCAGAGTGCTGGGATTACAAGTGCAAGCCACTGCATCCAGCTGTTTGGGTCTCCCAAGAAGCAGTGGTGGGCAGTGCCAGGCCGTGCAGGGTTGTGAAGGCCCTGGGTTTAGGAGCTTGTCCCAAGAGCAGAGGTCCTGCCCGCCTGCAGGCCAGCTGTTCTGGTGGGAGGGTGTGGGCGGCAGTCCGTGACAGGCGCGGTGACAGTCCCTGTCCCTCCTGCAGGTGGGCAGAGTGGCCCTGCACTGGGCCGTGGGCGCAGGGCACGAGCAGGCCGTGCAGCTGCTACTGGAGCACGGGGCTGCTGTGGATGATGCAGATGTGGTAGGAACCCCTCACGGAGGCCTCTGTGTGTGTGTGTCTGTCTGTCTCAGGGCAGGGTGAGGCGCCTGAGGTCTCCGGGTCCATGAGCCGGTTGTTGTTGAGACAGTCACTGGTACACGGGTGCCCAGGTGCAGGCTGGTGGAGAATCAGTGGCCAGGGCCAGGGCCACCACGCCACTCCGGCTTTCCCCTTGTGTGGTAGTAAAAAGCTCTCTGTGAGCAGGGCCACTTTGTGCTGAGAAAGCGGGGCCTCTTTTCAGTCCCTGGTGATACTGTGTGAGCAGATAACTGGGCGGCTGGATACAGGCCTGGCGAGCAGAGTCACCACGACCAAGCTCTGTCATGATGGGCCAGCAATGAGCCATGACTGACATGGCGGTGGTCCTCCTGCACAAACCTCGGACAGAGCAAGCACCCACGTCAGGGTCTGCAGCACTGGCTCTGTCAACTGGGCGTGGTGGTGCACTCGGGGAGGCTGAGGCAGGAAGATTCCAAATTCGAGCCCAGCCTAGGCAATTTAGCAAGATCTTGTCCCAAAATTTAAAAAAAGAAAAAAAAAAGGTGGGAGGGCCTGGGAATGTAGCTCAGTGTAAAGTCTCTGGGTCTCATCCTCGGTATTGGAAAAGGAGAAAAAGTAGCTCTACAGGTTTGGGAAAAGGGCTGAATCTGACAGTGATATTTGGTAAGGACACATTTTAAAAATCTAAGGGTTTTTTTTTTTTTTAATCTAAGTTGTTTTCAGGACTGGGGATTGAACCCAGAGCCTTCTGATTGAGCTATATCCCCATCTCTCTCTCTCTCTTTTTTTTTTTTTTTTTTTTTTTGGCTTTTCTCCGGTACCGGGAACCGAACTCACGACCTTGCACTTGCCAGGCAGGCGCTTTTGCCGCTGAGCTAAATTCCCAGCCCCTCTTTTTAAGAGGGCCTTATTAAATCCTTCAATTGCCCAAGCTGGGCTCAAATTTGCCATTCTCCTGCCTCAGCCTCTCAAATAAGGCATGCACCACCACACTCAGCTCCTTTTTTTAAAAAATTATTAACTCCTTGCAGAGACTTAGTTGCTCATGAAAACACTTCTTTTTGTTCTGGCTTCTTCCTGCCCTGGGGCTGCACCATGAGGAGGTCTTGATTACTATTGTGGTTGGGACGGTGGGGCAATGCCCCGCTCTGGGCAACCCGTCCCCTGCCAGGAGCGACCCAAGAGGTCATAGAGTAGCGAGGGGACCATAGCCATCACCTCTGGGATGTTCTAAGGGGGATTTCAATAGTGATTCTTAGCCAGGCGTGGTAACACATGCCTGTAATCCCAGAACTCAGGAGGCTGAGGCAGGAGGATCATTCCAAGTTTGAGGCCAGCCTGACTACATAGTGAGTTCAAGGCCAGTCTGTCTCAAACAACAGAAAAACCAAACCAAAACTAAAACAAAGCCAAAACAGTGATTCTCAGACCATGCCAAGGTCTCCACCAATCTGAAAATACAGACATTGTCATGTACTTTTTATTTTGTTCTTGCTGTGCTGGGGATAGAGCCTAGGGCCTTCTGAGTAATAGGCAAAGAAATGCTCAGCCTGTGAGCCACACCCTCAACCCTGTAGCATGTTTCTCATGAAATTTATTTTTAAAGAATAGATTCTGAAATTGGTTTCCAATTTTCTTGTTTTTTTTTTTTTTTTTAAATTTATTTTTGAGACAGGGTCTCTCTGCAGTCGAGGGTGGCCTTGAGCTCACTATGTAGCCCAGGCTGGCCTTGAACTCACAGTGATCCTCCTGCCTCAGCCTCTCGAGTGCTGGGATCACAGGCATGTGCCACCATGCCTGGGATTTTCTTGTTTTAACATGATCTTTCTTTATGAAATGGTGAGAATAGATGGCAGCTATTTTATCTTCAGGTTTCATCTGACAACAAAAAATTTGCAATAGTCAGTCATTCTCTATTAAACAAACGACTTAATGGTGTGTGGACTCCCAAGGTTTGGCGCTCCCTCATGGTTGTGGCTTGGCTTTGTGGACACAGGGCCCAGGCCACGCCTCCCCCCTTTCCGCCCTCTCCCCCAGTTCGGGATGAACGCGCTTCTCCTGTCCGCCTGGTTCGGCCACTTGCGGATCCTCCAGCTCCTGGTCAGCTCCGGGGCCAAGGTCCATTGTGAGAACGCGGTAAGGCGTCAGCCCGCAGCCCCAGCCCCTCAGCTCCCCCTGCCCCAGTGCATCCCCACTCCCTGCCCGGCCGTCTGACTTACCTGCTTCTGAGGACCATTCCCAAGCCTTGCTGTGCTGGGCCCTGTGATGCCGCCCCTCCTGCTGCTTCTCTGGCTGGGACATCAGTGGGTGGTGCCCCGTGCTTTACTGCTCTGTGATGTTGGGTCGGTGCCCAGCACCCCCACCCCGGGCTTCTTGCTAACAAGAAAGAAATCAGCGCAATGCCCAGAGGCCTCCTGTGTCCTCCTGCCATGCTCGGCCCTCACTCCCTGCTCAGCGTAGGGAGGTACAGGGGGCAGGGCCTCATCTACCAGCCCTGGGACTGTGAGTTACTTCATCATTCCTAGCCTCGGTTTCCCTCTTTGGAAACGGGATGCTCGTACCTGCCTCAGGGCATTGGGAGAAGAGAGGGTGGTGCTGTGTGTGCCTTCGGGGCTGGGTGCTGGCATCTTAGGGAGCCTGGCATCTCTTGCTGCTCAGGGGGTGCGTGAGGTCTGAGGGAGGCAGCCTCAGCAAGTCACAGTGCCTGGGACTCCTCCACTGGTTTCTTCTCTTTTTTTGAGACAGTATTTCACTGTGTAGCTCAGAGTGGCCTGGAACTTACAGTGAGCCTCCTGCCTCAGCTCCCGAGTGCTGACTCTGCTATGCAGTTCATGGTGGCCTTGAGCTCACTTTGTAGCCCAGGCTGGTCTCGAATTCACAACTATCCTCCTGCCTCAGCCTCCTGAGTGCTGGGATTATAGGCATGCACCACCATTCCCAGCCTCCGTGTAAAGTTTTTGAATAATTTTTTAATTTATCCTTTTTTTTTTTTTTTGGCGTACCGGGGATCGAACTCACAACCTTGCTCTTGCCAGGCAGGCGCTTATGCCACTGGGCTATATCCCCAGCCCCAATATTTTTCTTACAGGCAATGTAACCCAACCTTTTAGCCCCCGCTGAGGCAGTCAGGATTATTGTCCGAACTGGACCGGGGTGGAGAGGGAGGCTCAGCGAGGCAGAAGCACCAGGCCCGGGGGCACAGTGCTGAGCAGTGGGTCGGAGCTGGGCTTTGCATCCTGGCCCGGCCTCATGTGCGGAGCGGCGTGGGGAGTGTGTCCCGGGGACGCGCAGTGTACAAGAAGGGCCTCCGCTCGCAGAGACGGCACCCACTCTGGGCTTGTTTCCAGGACGGCTTGGCCTTACTGCACTGCGCAGCCCTGAGAGGCCACGTGCCGGTGCTGGCGTTCACGATGGAGGACCTGGAGGACGTGGCCCTGGACCACAGGGACAAGGTGAGAGCTGCCCCAGGACACTAGACGTGCCCCCTTGGCTGTGGGGGCCCTGGGCAGCTCTTGCGCATGCCCATGGGCGTTCTCTAGTCCCGCATGCGCAGACTGTCCGCAGGGGATGTTACAGCGCAGGTAGCGGGTGCACGCAGAGCACGGTCAGATGGCTGTGAGACCCGCCAGGTTGGAGAAGGAAGCGCTGCTTTCTCGTGGGAGGTGGCATGTGGTGGAGGAACTGGGTTTAGGGAGGATCGGGCAGCGCTGGGGGCACGGCTGGAGCCTGGGGTGGGGGAAGGGCCCTGGTTGGGAGTTAGTCGCCGGGAAGGCCAGAGGGGTTTGGGGCCCTCGGGAGATCCCCACCCTGACCTCAGAAACCCCACCCGATGGGAGGCATCGGGGAGCCGCCGAAGGCCCACCGCGGGTCAGGGCACCCCCAACGCCTGTTGCTGGGAAGCAGGGTCTGGGCTTTCCAGGCAGGGCGCGTGGGGAGAGTGTCTGGGGCTGGCGAGCCCAGAGCGGGGGAGAAGCAGGCGGGGAGGGCAGGGCCGCGCGCCCTCGGACGGGCGAGGAGGGCTCGGTGGGCTCACCGGCCTTCTCTCCGGCCAGCTGGGCAGGACGGCGTTTCACAGGGCTGCGGAACGCGGGCAGCTGGAGGCTCTGGACTTCCTCGTGGGCTCGGGCTGCGACCACAGTGTCAAAGACAAGGTACTGAGACCGGGGGTCCTCGCCACCTTTACGGCACTGGGGTCTCGCCTGTGCCTACTTCCCACCGCAGAGCGCTGGAGGGGCAGGTGCCCGAGGCCAGGAGTGCATGCGATGCTCCCAGCGGGCGCTGTGGGCAGCCCCGGCTACAGATTGATGGCACGAAGATGCCCAAGATGCAGGTTTTCTACGCAGGAAATCCACTCCATGAGCCTAGGGAAGGGCTGGGGTCTGACGAACTTGCGATCTTCCTGCCTGAGCTTGTTGGGATGGCAGGCGTGTGCCACCACGCCCAGCAAGGAGAGATGTATTGTGGCTCATGGTCAGCGAGGTTGCAGTCCGTGGGTAGCTGGCTGCCTAGCTTTTAGGCTTGGAGTGCGGCGGAACATCATGGCAGAAGGTGGGGTCAGAAGGCAGCTCACCCCGTAGCAGCCAGGAAGCAAGGAGAGAGAGGATAGAGAAGAGAGGAAGGGGGCGAGATACCCCTCCTGGGCCATGTCCTCCTTCAGTGAGGTCCCACTGTCCAGGTTCTGTCACCTCCCAACAGCCCAGCAGCTCATGATCTCAGGGATGGGTTGACACTCCTGAGCCACCCATGCCCCCAGAGTCTCCAGCGCTGAGCATTGCTGCTCTGGGGACCAAGCTTTCAGCACACGAGCTTTTTAGGGGACGTTTCAGATCCCAAGGACACCAGGATGATCTGGGGTACATGAGGGGCGCATTGGGTGGGCACATGGACAGTAGGGTCTGTTTTGTTTAATTTGGAAAGTAACTCCTCCGTCTGGCAGTATAAGGAAAGGGGGACCTGGGCTTGCCCTGGGGAGAACTTCTGCGTGTAGTTTTGCGCACAGGGCTTCGGGTAGGGTGGCACCGTCCCGTGCTCAAGGTGCCGCCTGTCACAGGATTGCTCTGTGAGCCTGGACACGTCACTTCCGCTGGGGCCTTGGCTTGACGTTCTGTAAAATGAGGGCGGCTGTGAGTGCTGTGCTCCTGGGGCTTCAGGTGTGCTGGCCCCTCAGGCATGATCCTCCCTCAGGAGGGGAACACGGCGCTTCACCTGGCTGCTGGCCAGGGCCACGCGGCTGTGCTGCAGCGACTCCTTGACATTGGGCTGGAGCCGGAGGAGCCGAATGCCGTGAGTCGCCAGCCCCCGGGGGAGCGCTCTGTCTTTATGAATCCTCACCAGTGCTGTGGCCTGCTTCTCCCTGGCTGAGGCCCTGGAGCCCGGAAGCTGAGGTTGAGCTCTCAGCAGGACACCTGAGGGCAAAGAGTAGCAGCCAGAACCTGAGCTGAGAGGGCCACGGGGTGCAGGATGCATGTCTGTCTCACAGAGGGAGAACCTGGGGGGCCAGGTTGGCCAGGGAGCACAGCAGAGTGGGGCTGGAGGGGCAGGAGAGCGTGGAGAGCCGGCCGGTCGCCCGTCTCCTCCTCACACCTTTCCCGCGTGTTTCAGGAAGGCCTCACGGCCCTCCACGTGGCTGCCGAAGGAATCCACGCAGACTGCATGCAGCGCCTGCTCCGGGCTGGGAGCCCTGTGAACGCCCTCACGCAGGTAGGTGCGCCTCCCAGGGCTCATGCGCGCTCCTGGGGTGCTGCCTGCCTAGGCTGAGGAGCTGTAACTGTCACAGAAGCAGCCTTGGTGGTTGCCGAGGGTTCATGAGCGCTGCCTTTGAGGCTGCAGAGCCACACTTGGTCTGGGCTTCTGCACTGCTGAGCTCTGTGATCTCGGGCACCTTGCTTACCCTCCCTGAGCCTCGTTTCCCAACTATAAGATAGCACGGTGTATGCTTACTTTTTCACATTGCTCTGGGGTGTAAACACCCAGGACAGTACTGGGGACAAAGTAGGGACTCAACACCTCCAAGCATAATTTATTTTCTTTTCTTTCCTTCTCTCTTTCTTTCTTTTTTTTTTTTTTTT